TTAGTGCCTAAAACATCATCGTTTTAAGTATTAATAGTTGCATTAAAACAACGTCATTTTGTTCATGTCGTCGTATTATTAAAATTTAACAGATTAATAATATAATTGAAGTTAAACCAATTTATTATTATAATTAAAGCAATCAAAAGTCAATGATATACCCCCACCTAAAACTAAATAGTATCCCATGTAGTTTACCCCAAGTAAATCTCTGTTTTATTTTATACTTTAAACTTTGACTTTCTTCTTAAAGTATTTATTTTTACTAAATAATAAATGAATTACTCATATCGGATTCATTGTTTGACTTATTTTTTATTTGACATTCATTGTTCACTAAGAGACAAATGGGGAAGAAAAAAAATAAAAAACAAGCTCACATGGATCTAATGCAAGTCACGTGCTTTGTACAATGTTTTCTTCTTGTCCCAATAGATGTAATAAAAAAATGAATTCAAGTCTCATCGATCCAGATCAATTTATTGTTGTTGTTTCTAGTTTAGAATTATATTATTATAAATAATAATAACTTTTAAATTATGTATTTTTTAATTAAATTAAATAATTAAAAATTTTAAATCAAATTCGGTTCAAAATCGAACTAAAAACGGTCCAAAAGAATCATATCATTCATACGGTCATGCATATGGGAAATTTAAGGCGCTGTCTTCTTTCAAAGAGACAGATGAACGAACATTCGGGGCCAATTTGATAACTCAAACTCTCAAAGGATAGCTTGGGATTGGTCCACTATTTTATTGTCAATGGAAATTCAATGTTTTTTGGGACAGTTTTCCGGTTGCCAACAACAATCAACATGTTTCTCTAGCCTTTTATGAAAGGCATAATGTCAAAAGTCTTTCTTTTTAATAATTATTTTAGTTTTCGGGTAAAGTATAAATAGCCCCTGACTATAGATATTACTTTATTAATTCTCCGACTATTAAAGTTACAAAAATGATCACCTAACTATTCATTAGGTTCCATACTCGTTATCTTTTGTTAAAAAATTGATGATAGTTTGAGATGTTCACTAACATGTTGACTAAGATATGATTAAATTTGATCTCATAATCTCAAACGACTATTATATAGCATGTTAACGTCCAACTCATATGACCTGGCGTTGGGATCAGCCTACTACCCTACCTCCCCCTTACCTCATTGCATATGGGAATCAGGGTTTTTGTTGTTGTTGTTGTTGTTGTTAACATCCAACTCAGATGACCATTAATTTTTAACGGGAAAGGACGAGTTTGAAACATAATGAATAGTCGAGTGGTCATTTTGTAACTTCTAATAGTTGGGAACTCAAATGTAACTCTCTATAGTCGAGGGATCATTTTGTAACTTTTAATAATCAGTTGATTCAATAAAGTAGTATCATATTCGAGAGATCATTTGTGTACTTTACCCTTAGTTTTGTTTATAATTTAATTTTTAATATTTTATCTTTTTAATTAAGTAAAGATATATTAAATTTACAAAATAAATGTTGGGATACAAACCCACACATGATAAGACAATACGAATATCATTATCACTCGGTCAATTAATGTTTTATTTTATATATGTAGTGGCAGATCTTGGTGATAGAGTTTGGGATGACCAATTTAAAACTTTAAAAATTTAAAGGTTTAAATTAATTTTTATTTTTTGAAGGGTTTAGTTTACATTTTCCCAAAAAAATTAGGGTCCAAAAAAATTAGGGTCTAACTATTTTTTTTGAAATTTTGAGAGGCTTAATGAGAGTTTTTAAACATTATGGGAAGAGATTTAATCAATAACATTAAAAAATTTAAATTTTAATCTAAATTTCTAAAAAAAATTGAGAGGGCCAAATTAATTTTACTGAAAATTTTAAAGGTCCATATTATAATTTTTTAAATTTGTGGGGCCATAGCATCCAATAGTCCTTCTTGTCTTCCACCAGGACCACCACTGTGTATATATAGGTAATTGAAAATATTAATTTAATAATGATATTTTATAATATTGATTTGAATTAATTATTTAATTAAATATTAATGCTTATAAAAATAATTAATTAACTAATCAAATACACTTTGTTTTCGATTAGCACTAGGTTAATCCTTATCTTATTACCATGATTATCTTCAATTACCAATGGCACACGCCACAACTCTCTCACATTATTTTTCACATTTTTATTATCATCTATAAGTGCCATTAGTACCCAACTTAGGCTTACTCACACTTTAAAATCATTTGATTTGATTGAGTCCGATTTAAATATTATATTAGTAAAATTTATTAAGTGGTGTAATTGATAAAAGTAAATATTTGGAAGATATTTGGGAGTTCGCTTGTCTCTAGGAGCTTTTCTTACTTGGATTGTGAGGGATTGGTGGATAAAATTATTAGAAAAATTCAGAACTGGCTTTCTAAATGTTTATCCTTTTGCTGGAAGATTGTAGCTCATTCAAGCGGTTTATCTCCAGTGTTCAAAATTTTTAGAGTAGAGTTTTTCTATTGCCTTCTGAAGTGTTGAAGAAGATTGGAAGTTTATAGTGCTTTCCTTTGGAAGGGTTCAAATGGCTCTGCTAGGGGTGCTCGGGCTAGTTGGGAGAAGTTGTTTCATCCAAAATGTGAAGGGGTATGGGGATAATAATATTTTAGTTTGGAATAGAGCTTGTATAATGAAATGGTTGTGGCCTCTTGCACAGCTATAACCGCTTTTGATGGCTTAGATTGAGAAGTACATTTTGAAGGGTGCTCTCTATGGCAGGCGCCTATGAAGGACAATTATAGTTGGGCATGGAAGAAAACTGTTGGATCTCTCCCTAATTGGAGAGGTTCTAGAAAATTCTAGAGCTTTATGGAGAAGTGTAGAATTTTTAGAACATTTCGGAGAACTCTAGAGAAGTGTATAACTCTTTAGAAGCTTGTGGAAGAGTGTAGAATCCTCTAGAATATTCTGGTGATATGTGGAACCTTATGGAAGAGTATGGAAGAATATGGAAGGGAGTGAAAGAGTGTAGAGCTTCCTAGAGTGTGTGGAGCATTCTAGATAATTAATCTCCACCCTTGGATGTAAGTAATCTCCACCATTCATTGTGGAGGCGGAGTAGTATAAATAGGGGTGAGAGACTTCATTCCTAACCATCCAAAATCCAAGAAATCCAAGCTTGAGAAACTAGAGAGTTAGAGAGCCTCTTTGAGAGAGAAGAGAGATAGTTTGGGAAGGCTTTATCCTCAAGTTTATCAAGAAATTCAAGCTTGAGATACTAGAGAGTTAGAGAGTCTCTTTGAGAGAGAATAGAGATAGCTTGGGAAGGCTTTATCCTCAAGCTTGTCCAAGAAATCCAAGCTTGAGATACTAGAGAGTTAGAGAGCCTCTTTGAGAGAGAAGAGAGATAGCTTGGGAAGCCTTATCCTCAAGCTTGAGTGAGCCACCAAGTGTGAGTCAATTTTGTGAACGCATCCTTGTAATCCTACTATTCTTTTGTATAGTGGAAGATCTCTAAATTGGAGAATTATACTCTTGTGCTCTCTTTACTATCCTTAATCTCTAAGTGTCTATCTTAACTTCATGAAATGGGAAAGACCGTGATTCCAACAAAACTCTTAAATTAAGGGATGATTATATCCTTGTTGGTAGTATGGATGGAGGCTTTCAATAGAAGATCGAGTTCAAGGCATCTATGTAGGGCTGTTGTTGGTAATAAAGAAGCATTTTTTCTTTTAAATGTTGTCTGAGCCAAAAAGAAAGAAGGATTTAAATTCATTCATTCATTTTCTTCCAACAAAGCCAAATTGCTTCTAAGTGTCACCATGTAATAGGACTAGTTAGATAACTTTAGGATCGTATAAGGAGTAAGTTGTACATTATGAATGAGCTTCATACAAACTGTTGTCATTTTCCTTGTAACTGCTTGGTCAAGTTCTTAATAGTAGCTAGCAGCAATTCATCATTCACCTATGCTACTCAAATTCGGGTGTGAGTTAAACACGAGTCTGCGTCCGAAAATGTATGAACATGTCTACTCAAATGTCTGTACATGATTGTTATTTGATAGGCTTACAACCATGTTACTCGGATTAGCATGTGAATGTCGGATATGATTATATATCTGACACTGTAAAGTCTTGTATTTTGAGGGTCCTTGGAGAGGCGTGTACGAATATGCCATATATGTATAGTTCGGGAAAAAAATGAAAACCAGAGGATTTAGCCCAAAGAAGGAATGTTTGTGCTGATAGAGTTTGGTCAGGATTTTAGACAGCAAAATATTACAGTGAAAAGACATGTTTTGTAAAATGAAAACACATATTCAATTTTCAGATTGTCCATGTGATTTAATATTCATGTTGCAAGATTGTTTTAGCATGAAATGAGTTTCCCCTTTATTCTCTACAGCTGTAAGGTGTGAGAGCTTAGCAATGATGGTTTCCATAACAAAAAGTAAACGTGCTTGGTATGTTGTAAATCATGCAAACCACTCTTTAAACAACCAAAATCAATTTTTTAAACCTCTAAATTTATAAGTCTTAAACCCTAAATCTTCACTTAATTTGATGGGAATTTGGTGAAGCATTTGAGGGGCTCAAGATTTGACAAAGTGCAGATAGGCCAAAGTGTACACTATATGGTAACCCATTATTTTCTATGTAAAAGGACCAATCAACCAACTGCATCTCCTAAATTCAAGACATAAAGTATTTTATTTTGGGTAGCAAAATTTATTTGGCTGGTCGAGAATATCACTAAAAAGTCTAAAGTTTAGGCCCTACTTAATCTCATTCCATTTAAAACAAAGATACCCCATAACTATATTCTCAAGCAAAATCATTAATTAATTGAAAAAAAGGAAATAAATTAATATTCACCCATTTCTCTTTGCTGTATGAGGAAGTAACCGAGGGAAAAGCTTGGAGTTTTAAAGCATGGTGGAGACTAATGCAAGGAAGCTTTATATTTCTTTAAATAATTAAATCCGAATGAAATTCTCCAATAAAATAGTCAAAACAATATATTCAATTCATTGTAAAGCTGCCTTGATTTCTCATTGGTACTTGTTTCCCTACTTATAAACTTCCATATCCAAAATCTCAAATCTGGGGGTCAATGTTTTAGATCCAAGTCGTTCTAATAGGAAGATCATGCATCGATCATTTAATCGAATGTTCGAACTCCGATAGCCCATCTTTTGATGTATGATTTTTCTCCATGCGCTTCACTGAGCAATGAGCTTACCAGGGTTCTTCATTATATGCATGCTCCATTCCATAGTTGCCATCACTTGTGGAGCTCTAATGGTGTTCTACACCAAGGAAGTCTCGGTTCTCGGCCACGGTCACGAGATCGCCAGTAAGCTACAAGGCTCGACGCCCCACGATCAACTCTTGATCCAAACATCCGAATCTTTTTCCGGGTTGCTTTTGTTCACCATCGGTTTTGTGTTGTTCATGGTGGCATTCGTCAAGGACCGGGACTTTCAAAGCTTCTTTGCTAAAGGGTGCGTGTTGCTTCACGTTTCAATGGCTATTTGGAGAATTAAGTTCGAAGGGAAACTTGAAGATCTCGGCCATGAATGGCTTAGGCAAGCTCTTGGGGACATCATGTTGGCTCTTTCCTGGGTCTTTCTTCTTGCATATTCATGGAGGGAGAAGTATGATTAAAGGGGTTGAAAAATAAATTACAAGTTGGAATTTTGTTTTATTTCGGGCAGCAAATTTTTTGGACAACTGATGCACACAGCTGTTTGGTCAGGCCATTGTCTCCTTCTTGAATCTTGCTTAGGAACTCGAGCATCATGCTTGAATTCAAAGGAAAAGTGAAAATGGCAATGTCATATCAGGCTGGCATGTTTTGCTTTCAGTCCAGAGTCATCCCAATATGCTTTTTAATTTCTAATCTTGATGCTTTAATTGTAATGTAATAAAATGCCATGCAATTTTTGTCCCAAAAAACAATAAAAGTTGTAGGATTTTTTTTTCTGGTTGCCAATTTCTTTTTGCAGAAATGGGTACAAATTGCTTTAAACTCGGAATGAACATCCAAAATCAAAAATTGAGACTTCGAAGTGATTTGTCGGTAGTCGATGAACCCCCGATATGATCTTTGAGATTCGATCATAATGTCTGGATCAGGTCTAAAACGTTACCTAATCTATCTGTTTTCTAGGTTGCACTCTGCAAGTGCAATGATTTTAACTCAGTTAATGACTTGAACTGCCTCGATATATGAAGCTGCCATTTTTTAACCTTGAAAGGCCGGGTTAGTTTTGATTTCTCTTGGTAACATACTCTATAATTTGCTGCTACACCAAGAGTATCGTACTTTTAGAATCAAAACATAGAAAAATAGTTATTCTAATAGTAATTCATTATTTTATAGCTTAGCCATTACAGCACTGTAAACGTGACACAGACAGACATGAAATCACACAGAAACAACAACGAAAGAACCGAATTTCTTTATTTTTTAGGTCCCAATTTTCTCATGAACTGGAACATCATTGTTCTTTATGTTAGCTTAATGACCACATGTGCAGTTCGTGCAGGTGCAGTTAGCTCCGCACTTGCAGTCGTTCTCTGCCGGAACCTCAGTCGCCACGGTGCCAATGTAGCTGCAACGAAATAACACAACAGATTATAATTTACCACATTTTTAATGAAAATTTTAGTATAGTTCTTTGAAGAAATCAATGATTGAAAAGTTTAAAGCATACCTCTTCTCGGTCTCGATGATCATGGTGTTTCCTTTCTTGCTGTAAGCATAAAAAAAGCCATTAAAAACTCTTAAATTTCAATGATAAATGGGAGGAAATTCATGGTTAATATAATCTAAAACCAAGCACAGACCATGAACAACTCGGTTTATGATTGTTTGATTACTTACACGCACTGGCTCTTGTCGCTGCAGTCGCAGTTGCCGCACTTGTCCGACATGTTGAAGGTTTTCTGGGAGTCTGAAGTTGTAATTAGGTAGATTGCAATGGGATTGCTATGCTTTGCAGCATGAGAATGCATTGGATTTATAGATGAAGAAAGCAAAGGAACCTTTTGGTAGTGGTGGGCGGACATTGCCACTTTTGGTTTGGCTTGCTATCCTCCTCTCGTGTCCATATCATTTCTCCTTTTTCTTCCCTAAAGGGAGAATATCATATGCATGCATATATTATTGATCTTACTCTTGTGTTCAGACCATCAAAAAGGAACCTAAGCTCTTGGAATTTTAAGGGTTCTAATTGAGGTGAGATTGGTAAATTATCAAGGGTGCATGGATTTCTTTTTCACTCTTGACTTTGATGATTAGGGTAAAAAGAGAGATTTTAGGGCAATCACATCTTCTAAAAATTTAAAATTATCATATATTTTAAATTTTTTATTGTATTTTCTATTAAAAATTTATTTTTATCTCTCTAAATTTTATAAGTTCAAGTTCATACTTTAACATAAAATCCGGCATCTGTCCCTAATAAAGATGACATGTAAAAAATTATGACACAACTTATTTTTATTGTTGGATCAATGGCCTATGTGGTAGAGAATGTCTATGATATATTTTGTCTTAAATTTGATGTTTAAGTTAATTTTGGTTCAGTTAGGTATCTGAGTTTATCTTTTAAATTATTTTGAATTTATTTTTTCTTAAATTAATATTTGAACTTAATTTGTTATTTCCAAATGAATATTTAGGAACAATGATTTATTTGAATCGATTTAAATCATGAAACTAATTTTAAATAGCTATTTAAATAAAAAAAATAAGTTTAATACCTAATTGAATAAAAAAATTAGGTAACAAATTGAATCTTGAAGTTAAATTTAGATAACATATTCAATATATATATATATATATATATATATATATATATATATATATATATATATATATATATATATATATAACATTTGGTACCTAACTTGTACTTATGTGCAACATGGTACTCAAATTCCTTTTTGGTATTATTAGATAACCAATTTTAACGATACAATTAATACTTGACTTTTTTGGTGCAATTAGGTACCTAACATTTTTCTAAGTACACATGTCTACTTTTGATTGGTTCATTCATAAAAATTTAACATTGTTTAGTTAAAGGGAAAATATGCGTTATTGACTCAAAAGTTCCGCGTTAAAATACTAAGTATGAATTAATGTAATTTTAAAAAATATTAGGTACCTAATTGTACTAAAATAAAATTTGTATACTTGATTGAAACGAAAAAAGTTAGGTACATAATTGCACCGTTTTCAAAAGTTATCTACCTAAACGCACCATGAAAAAGTTAATTACCTAATTGAATTAGAAGTACTACATTCCATATAAATATTACAGTTAGACACCAAAAATTATATTTACCCATATTTTGTGCTATGGTGACTGAGTGGACTTGAGCGGAACAATGTCATTAAATATTGACCGTCCAATTGTTAGGCCCCTCTCAATTGCAAATATTGATGGAGACTTTCTACATGAACCATTTTTGTTTCTTTAAAAATATACAAACATATCAACATAATTATATGTTTATTATTACATATTAAAATCTTAAAATATGTACATACTTATATCAATAAATATATGTTAAATGCTATACTTTTTTATTTTATATATTTACACCGTTATAAGTATGTGTTAAGTATTATATTTTATTTTATTTTATTCGCTTACATTAATATAGTATGTGTTAAGTGATATACATTTTTTTATTCACTTACACTGGTATAAGTATGTATTAAGTGTTACACTTGTTTATTTTATCACTTACACCGGTGTATGTATGTATTAAGTGCTACACTTATTTATTTTATCACTTACACTGGTGTAAGTATGTGTTAAGTGTTATATTTGTTTATTTTATTCACTTATATCAGTGTAAGTATGTGTTAAGTGTTACATTCTTTTTATAGTATGAATTATGGAAAAAAAATTAACAAATAATGTAATAGGTTAACCTAGTCAGGTACAGAGCTAAAATTAAATATTGAAATGAGCCTAAATATTAGACTATTTAATATAAAGACTTATTAGGTATTTAAACTCGAAATTCAGTATGAATAAACTACCTTAGTGATTAAGGGGTTTGTTGTTATCCTTAAGGTCCCGAGTTCAAGCACTGCGTATGTAGGGGTAGGAGCGTTCATTGTCAAATAGTTGAAAGTCTTTGTACATATACTACATTGTATTCACCTTAAATTTATAATAAAAAAACTCAAAATTCACAAGACAACTTCTAATTTGTCTAATATTTAAACTTACAATGACCTAAATTGTAATTAGACTAAAAATTTGATAACACATACTTATCATTGTTTAGTTCGACCACTACTTGATTAAATATTTAATACATATTTATTTTTTAAATTTAAATATTTATTTTTACATGAACCAAAATACTATTAAATCAAAATTATATCGAATATAAAAATTTTAACAGGATTCGAGACCCCTTGGGCTATAAGGGAGCTCTGTCCCTACCTGTGGTTAACTTGTAATTGAATCGTTAATAACAAAATTTTTATATTTTTATATTTTTTAAATTTAAATATTTATTTTTACATAAACAAAAATATTATTAAACTAAAATTATACTGAATATACAAATTTTAACAGAGGCCGGGACCCCTTGGGCTCTAAGTGAACTCTGTCTCTGCATGTGGTTAACATGTAACCGAATCGTTAATAACGATTAATCGTTTCTTAATGATTAGATTGCAATTAGAAAAATCTCATAAATGTTATAACGATTAACCGACCGTTTAGGCTAAATAGTATGATTAACCATCCATAAATAACTCTAATTATTATTCCTTTATCACAAATCATAATATTAGTTTTGATAATGTATTACATAATATTCTCTCAATAAATATCATTGAAAATAAGAGCGTATATCTCATTCAAAAATCTAAATTCTCTCTATTTTTTTTACCTTTGTTAACAGGTGGCGGCAGCAGTCATAAGGTTGATTATCAACTGTTAATTTTTTTAATAACTCTATTTTTATGTTTTATCGTTTATTTTATTGTTCTTTTTCTTTAATTTTCTTAGGTTGGATTTTGCCTCGTCTTGATGGCTCTTATTTATTACATTGTTAATCTTTTTTGTTTTAAACCTTTAAATTGAATTTGAATATGTGATTTACGTTTTTTGAGAAAATTATCTCTTGACGTTCGACCCTGATTTAAAATTGTCCATGATCTTTCAATAGTTTTATTCTTGTTTTGATTCGTTCACCGATACATCTAGATTTGTCCGTAGTAATCTTTTGTTTGAGTTTATAATTTTTTTCTTGCATAGCCCTTGTTTGATTTCAAATAGCTAGTTTCTTTTGTAATAGTTAGAGAAAAGTATCTTAATTATTTGCTTAATTTACGCTTATTCATAATATCTTAACCTTGGAGTCGTGAGATCGAGTCTCACGGTGGGCAATTCATAATTCAGAGGTCTCCTACGGAAACTACTCTCAACCTGGTGTCGGGGGCAGCCTACTATCATACCTCCCCCTTATCCCATTACATATGGGAATAAGAGTCAGCTCATTATTAACAAATTCCTTGGTAGAAAGAATTTATAACTATGGCAAAAGAAAAAAAGAGAGATTAACATCAAAATTTAATATCAATTAAGAATTGATTAAGAACGAAGTCGAACTACGATCCAATTTACAAAAAAAAAAAAATCCAATTTCATGATCCTAATTATTTATTGAGCCTTTGATATTGGGCCCGTGTATTCCTTACTGTTTTCTTTATTCGGCCTAAAAGATTTTTATTATGATGTTTTCATCATCGTTTCCACGTCAGCAATGTTTATCTCTTAAATATCCTAACTTTTTGAAATCGTATCCGTCCACGTTTCGAGAAAAACTCATCGAACGGGTAAAAATCATCGATACAGTCAATGTTTCAGTCAACTCCGCACTGTCTTACACCGGAAGCTTTGACCTCTGATCCTCTATACCCAATTACATTGAAACTCACTCACTGTCGTTAAAGTTCATGCCACGTAAGCAACCAAAGTTGAATGGCAAAAGGGTAATTCGAGCATAAAGGAGCCGATTATGTAAGTATAATTTACTCACAGACTAGGCGCGAAGCCGTGGAGCTAGAAGAACAGATCACTTGCGTTCTATTTAAGTAATGTCGTCTATGAAGCCGCTGCCACCGTCGCCGTTGACTCTGCACGCTTATCATGACACGCGAAATTCCAAGTCTTTTCTTTTAATATATATATACATATATTTCATTGTTTTTTTTTATAACTATGAAAATGAAATAGAATTCGAACGTCCTTTGCGGTTTCTTTGATGATTTCTCTCTCACTTTCTCACTGTCCAAACAGGAAACGATTGATTCCCTCTACTCCGAATTCCAGTTTCTTAATGGACCCGGAACTGATCGAGATCCCTCCTCCGGTTCCGAGCTCTTTCAAGTCTAGCAAGAAAAAACCGGTGATCGTTCACTTATTTTTTCTTTTAAAGAATAGTTTTTGTCTCTTTTTTTAACGTATTCTTGAAGATTTTTTTTTTGAGTTATGAATTCGGTTAAATACAATGATCGTTTGGTTGTCACTTTTGTTAATGGAATTTTGTTTGATCGGTTTATTGTGGAATTTCGTTGTTTTTTGGATTATTTACTATTGATTTTTTAGGGTTTAAAGGAGTTAAATTTGAATTTTCACAACGAAAACTTATGATTTCACTTATAACTGTGTGTTGGGGACTTGGGACTACGTTCTTCCAATCATGATAGTTTAAAGTTACCGAATATTGTTGGTGCTGAATTTTGGTCTTTGAAATGATAATGGACGGGAGTTGTGGCAATTGTTGTGACTTAGATGTCCTCTCCTTATTTGTTAGGGTGCTATTGCTTACAGGGCCCCGGAGATTGACAGTTTGGGACGATGGGTCCTTTCTTTTACACTGTCTCAGGGATTTGAAATAAGCAGACATTGCCCTTGTAATAGTCGTTCTTGGTAAAGTAGCTGATGATTAATGAGCACGTTTTCTTGCACAATAACTATTTTTGGGTACTGTTTATGAGTCCTTTGATAAATAAGCTTCTAATAGTTTAAAATGGAGGGCTTTGAAGATTCATCTTCCTTTTGGTGTGGATTGTCTGATTTTTATAGCATTTTTATGCAATTAATAGAGAATGTTTGTTGGTGGGGTATAAAAATGAATTCATTTCTTGTTTAGTAGAAGGTAGTAATAAGCATTTAAACAGGTGTTAAACGCTCTACTTGCTAATGTCTAAGGCTGAAAATGTTCAATAATTGTTAAAATTTGGAACAGTCTAGTAACATTGACATTGGACATGATCTGCGTGTTATTGGAATGGGAAAGAAAGCACACCAATTTTTTTTTTCATGGAGTGTGGCCATATATTGGGAAAGCATTGTGGCCAACTCTACCTTTGAAGTTAAGGGCGACTTCATGCAATTGAGTGTTTTTAGACAAACACACTCCAAATCTAGAAATTCTGCACTAAGAAACATCTTGTATGCCTTACTAGCTTCCTCTCTACTAATAGACACAAGTGCATACATTCGTTATCAAGTTATTGTATTTTAAATGTTTTTCTCAGTCAATCTTGTGGCTCTTTAGAAAAATCTTATCTCATGGTTTAGTAGAAAACTTCTGTTCCATATCTTGGTAGGTTGTTATCCATGAAGTAATTGATGTTGATAACGATGGAGATTCAAGTGATGTAATGATCCTTGATGAGATGGTTGGTGTAAGGAACAAAGGGAAGGCAGTAAAAGGTAGCTCTGGCGTTTCTAGTGCTATTCAAGCTGAGGTATGTGAGAGATTGAAGTGCCCTTTCTGTAGTTGCTTTTGTCTATGCCTAACATCAAATGTGCGGGTGTTAGGACCTATTATTTTTCCATTTACTTTTTCTTCATTTCTGTACAGGACTTTGTGGTTAAGCCTTTTGGTTTGATAAACAAGGTTGAACCTTCTAAGCATTCTACCCAAGGATCACACAATGCATATAACCTCGATGGGAATTTGGCCTATGATGATGATTTCCTTGATAACTATCACATTAGTGAGTTTTGGGATGTTGACGAGTATGCCATATTGCAAGCACCTTTTGATAATTTTGATATTCCTGCTGGAGTAGAGGCTTCCGTCCCTTGGTTTCCTGACTTTTTAGAGAGCCAAAAGATTACTAATCATGAGAACACTCAATCAAGTGTTAATGGGAATGACCAATCTCATTCGACTTGGTTTTCAGAGCCTGCTCATGTGAACAAGAAGCCAGCTTTAGTTAGTAGTTTAAGTTTCCGGACCCCAGTGGATTCTATAAGTCCTCCTGGAGGAGCAGGTGTTCCTTCAACATTTTTATTCCCACAAGGTTCACTAAGTAAGAAGCCAGCTACTTCACAACATAAATTGATTAGCCAGAATCTTCCAGGTTGGGATTCATTCCAGTCTTACCAGGTCAGTGGTTCAACTGCCGGTAGTGACGGGGGTCACTCTGATTCAATGATGCTGCCTCATGCAGTTAATCCAACTTATTGGGATCACTTTGGTTCTGCTGCAAAGAAGCATATTAGTGCCGGTAGTTTTATGCCTATAGAGGCATTTACTCACACTGTGGTTACTGACCCATCCATGTCTTTGTGGCCACCCTCTATGAAACCAAAATATAATCTCAATAAGCATAACGTCTATTCGAGTTTTTCTGATCCAGTATATGGTGCTTATATTACTCCTCAAGAAGTGGCAGATATCAGAAACCAGAGAAATGTAAATGAAGCAGATATTCTCAGTAAGTTCCAACATTTTAAACAATTTGATACTGTTGAAGATTTTTCGGATCATCACTATGCTGCCAGTGGATCTTCAACAAAGCAGGTGAGTAGCCTTTCAAGATATATTATGGTCTTCCTTTTTCCGTAGTTATGTTCGTAATTTTTCAACCAGTAAACTTTGTTTTTGTGAATTCAATTTGTGGCAGCCTCCGAAGAACTGGGCAAAGAAGATTCAGGAGGAGTGGAGAATACTTGAGAAGGATTTGCCAGGTGAGTTTTAAGTTTTGCGTGAAATGTTAATAGCTGAGATTTTCCACTTTGCTAGTGACAATTTCCCTTTTACTGATGGAATGTATAAATAATATTGTTTCTTACTCAGTATCATTTCTACTGTTTCAACAGATACTATTTTTGTTAGGGTGTATGAATCAAGAATGGATCTCTTAAGGGCTGTAATTATAGGAGCAGAGGGAACTCCTTACCATGATGGTCTCTTCTTCTTTGATGTTTTCTTCCCTGCTAGCTATCCTAAAGGCCCACCAGTATGTAATTATGGTTTATAAATTTGATTGCATCTTGTATGATCATATTTTCTGGTATATATGTTTGGTCTGATTAGTAGGAATTCCTTGGCAGCATGTTTACTACCACTCTGGTGGACTCAGACTGAATCCAAATTTGTATGGTTGTGGAAAAGTATGTCTTAGTCTCCTGAACACGTGGTCTGGTGATAAGAATGAGAAGTGGATACCTGGTATGTCTACAATGCTCCAAGTTCTGGTATCTATTCAGGCTCTAATCTTGAATCAGGATCCGTACTTTAACGAGCCTGGTTGGGCTCATCATAGAGGCACACAACAAGGTGAATTATTGTCCCAACAATACAATGAGGATACATTCATTTTGTCACTGAAGACAATGGTCTATTCAATGAGGAGGCCTCCAAAGGTAAGCTGAAGGAATTACCTCTTTGATGTTTTCAGTAGCGTACAAGCCGGAACGCTGTCAACTGGAATGAAAGCATTTATGTTGACTATGATATAGGGGCTCTTTAGTACAGAATTTGAGTTGGAATGCATAATAAACTACCCATTTCTTCTCTTCGTCTTATGATTCTAATGAATCCGTGTTTGGCTGCAGCATTTTGAAAACTTCGTTGTAGGCCATTTCTATCGTCGTGGTCAAAATATTCTTGTGGCATGTAAAGCATATATGGATGGTGCTCAGGTAGGCTGCCTGGCAGAAGGTGGCATTCAAGATGTCGATGAAGGCAACAAGAGCTGCTCAAAGAAGTTCAGGGACTCTGTTGCTGGATGTGTAAGTATTATCGTGAAAGAATTTACTGTACTCGGAGTAAATGACTGTGAGAAATTCCTTACTGTCCCCAAAAGTCGAAATAGCTGAGTCTGCAAGGTTTCAGTATTGTGAACTACTTTTTAAAATTAAAATTTTGAAACTCGAGTAAAACAGTTTCATTTATAGATATGCATAGTATTAGTTTAACTCGAGTTCATAGCAAGTAATTTAGAATTTAATTGAGCAGTACCATATGCTTTCCTTCATGGGATGCTCACATAGTCTCTGAACTTGTAAATTGTTGCATACATGGATGGGGGTTATCAGTTCTTTTCTGAATTTTCAATCTGTTACGGCTTGAGCTTTTAGCATATTATTTTGCCTCGCACATCCCAGTTAACCGATCCGAGCTTAATTTGAGCAAAGACATTCAACGGGTGGTTCTCCGATATTCTCGACCGAGGAGTACTGGATTCTCTTCTCGATATATCGAAAAATATCCATACATCCTTTCATTCTCCATTTATTATTATATATACAATTTGTCAACACTGCATGAGTTGCTTTCTTATCAATTCCACCGAAGCCTCCATGGCATATGTTAACATCATTTACCAGCAGAAACAAACAAGTGTTTCGGACAAGGTGACAATGCAGGCCTGTTAAGCATCCAAGGTGAAAAATCCATTCCATTTGTAGGAAATTTCAATGACTTTCTGAATTTTTCATGTTGTCTTTATCCATTCTGTAATAAAATATATATATTTTGATTTTGGATGCTTCAACTATTAACATGTAAACTCGAAATGACAAATTCAACAAAATTCATTTACGAATCAAAAACTGATTGTTCCTTGTTTGAAATTACAAAGGCAATGAAACTTTCAATGTTTCCATGGTTGTGCAACTCAAACTTTCCTTTCTGTTAATTAGTTTCTCAGTGAAATCTGTCTCATCTCTTATAGGGTCTTACTCTAAACACTGTTATTCGATTGTTCCGGAGTCGGTCCCCAACTCCGAACTTCCAGATTTCGAGTTTGGTCCATTCGGTCCACACCATTTTGGTTTTTATTATTCTGATGGAAATTTCAGAGTTTTAAGTGCAAACATAACCAGGTATCTGAATTCATTCTCGTTTTACACCACTGAGGTGAACCAAATCGGTAAAGACGTGTTTATTATAGAAGGAAGCTTTGAGTTACATAGTCCATTTCATTTCAAAAGCATCTTAAGTGGAACATCAAAAGATTCAGCTGTCACGCCTCACGAGCCACCTGAGGTTGCGGAGTATAACAATCCGTTTGTTTTGGAGCTGCACGGATTCTGGTCTGAGTCTTCGGGGAATCTTTGTATGGTTGGAACAGGTTCTGCATACTTAAAAGAAGGTACTCTGCTTTCACCTGCAGCTGTTCTTAAGCTTTACAATATCAAGAATTCTAGTAGTATTACTAGTTTGATTACCAGAACTTTAGAGAGTTTAAGTCTTAGCAATGATAACAATTATTTTGAACCAATCTCCATACTGATGCATCCACAACCGAATTACAAGTTCACCTTTTCTAAGGATGAATTTTCCGTTGAAAGTGATTTCGGAAAGAGTTTATCGATATACAGTGTACTGCGAGGAAGATCCTTTTGTTCAAAGTTTTCAAGCCTTGCAACTGCAACTGCAAATGTATTTAATTTGCAGTATACAGGCTGCAGATCCAACAAGTGCCTCCCTTTGGATGGGGTGATAGCGGATTTGCCTGGTTCTGTGTCTTTAGATGTCATTAATTGCACAGATGTTTGAAAGAGAGTTCGGATTTTCCTGAAGTTTGAAGATAATGTCAAGTTTTCAAGACTCTCCGCCGTTTAAATCCCAGCACAACATTGATTGGAGAAGGAATGTGGGATGGCAAGAAGAATCAGTTGCACGTTTTGCTTTGCCGGTTTCTAGACATCACAAACTCATGGTCTAATGCTTCGCCGGTTTCTTGACATCACAAACATTGATTGGAGATTACTGCTGAAGGGATTTATGATGCTGACACTGGAGGCTGTGTATGGTTGGATGCAGAAAGTTTGCATCGATCGATCTAGCGCGAAGAAATGCTTCTATGGACAGTAACATTCTTCTGAATTTTCAGCTTGCTCCGGTAAAAGGGTTCGATAATGGAGGGTATATTCAGGGGAAAATCGAAAGCACAAGGCAGGAATCCGAACTCACTGGGTGTTCAATTAGTCGGTTCAAATATATTATTATAAGTTTTTCTTTAACTGTTAATCGAATCAATTTTTTCGAAAATAATTAATCGAACCGAATAAAGTTCAGTTAATCGATCGGTTGATTAAATTAACCGAAATTTATAAATAATATATATTATATATAATTTCTTTATATTTGCGCTTATTTCGATTAGTTAATTCGGTCAAAACCAAAGTTTAAAAACTTAGACTAAGTAATATGTAAATAATATATACAATATATTAAAGTTTAAAAAAATTCGGTTAATTCGGTCAATTGACTGATTCTGAATCGAATTAATTGATAATCGAAGTCTGAAAAAAATTATTAACCGTTAACCGATTTTTTTTAATCCGGTCGGTCAAATTAGTTTTAACCAAAATTTTGAACACCCCTAATTCACACCAAATTTACTTATAATACTTTAAAAAAATACTTATAACATTGGGATACATGTTTATATACTGTTATTAGTATTTTCAATAAAATTTTAACTAGTTATAGTTAACATTGATATTGAATTTGATTTTGAATAATATTTTTATATAAATGTTAAAAAATAAAAAAAAATTCATTAAAAAAGCTCGTGATTATAATAAAAATATAAAATTTATTTTATAAAATTAATATTCATCTGGTCAAATATTATAGTTTTGTGATTATATTAAATGAATTTAAAATAATATTCCAATACTTTTATTTATCATGTTATATTTTAAATATTTTATTTTCGAAATTAATCTTACATTCGTGAATGAAACTATAGCATTAGAGATTTAAGAAAAATACAATTTATCAAACAAATATGAAATGTACAAATCCTACGTCGTTTCAGCTTTAAACCTAGATGATTTCCCAACCTTCAAAGCCCTAACCTTTAACCTCCATGAAACTTCCTTTCAGTCGCGGTGGAACCCCCAAACCCAGCAATTTCCCGACCGTCAGCCGAGACCTTTAAGCCCCAATTTCCCGATACTCCAATCTTGTTTGAGTTTCTTTTCAATGGAACCCCTAAACCTCACCAATTTGCAACCCGATATCCTCTACGAAACCCTAACAGTAGACCCAATTTCGCTCCCTTCTTCACCTTCCGACGAATCTCCGCCGTCCAATCAATATCCTTTTGAGCCATACACTGTCTTCCGCAACGAAATCTCTCTATCGACAGAAAATCCCGTCTCCGTGGACTCAGCTGCGGTGGACTATTTCTCGCTCGATGTTAATGAGCCGGATGAGCCGTTATTAGTTCAGACTCCATTATTGGCCTGCGATGAATCGGAGCCGAAGACACCGGCTACTGTGGATGAGCCAAGGCTTGAGAACAAATGGTGGTTTGGTGGGAATAGCAAGTTTAAAAGTCCAATGCTTCAGTTGCATAAAGGTCGGTGATGATATAAGCCGTTTTAATGTAAATTTTGAAAATCTTGACAAAATTTTTATTTAAATTTGAATTTTGTCATGATTAATTTTTGTTTGAGATAAATTTACATGCGGTGATTAAGTTGAGTTGAACTTCAGTTTTTGATCCCTTCGAGTATTCTTGGCAAGCTTGATTGCTTTCATATTTTTCAATTGCCCTTACATTGAAATTTTGAATGAATGAATCTTGATGGATTTGAAATTTTGAAGTTTTTAAATTTAGACGTCCTTTGATAAATTTTGTATCTTTACCTTTAATTATGTGCTTGTTATTGATATTTCGATTCGAATTCTCTCATCTACTTATTACGCTGGTTTGTGTAATTTATGGGCAAAGCATATTAATATGGTGGATATGATTGTCTAGAAAAGAAATGGAGGGCTGCTTGTATAGTTGTCATTTTGGTCCTGGAAATTTTTATTGAAGTCATAGATTTTTTGGTAAACAGATGTAGTATAAGTGGTAGAAAAGATACCGGGAGTCTATTGATGTACCTTTGAATCTTTGATGTGGTATAAGTGATAAACATTCTTGAATGCCATTTTTATGGTGTGTACATCATAGGCAGATTTAATACTTTACCATGGTGGGCATTGCAGAGATAGTGGATTTTTGTGATTTTCTATCCCCCACTCCCGAAGAGCAAGCGTCACGTGATGCTGCTGTGCATTCCATTTTTGATGTTATCAAATACATATGGCCTTCCTGCAGGGTATGATTGGGAGCTTCTCTTTCTCTCGTGCTAAAAGAAATACACACGTGTAAAGATTTATAAATAGTGTACAATGCCAAAGGGTAACGAATTATTGCTTTGCAGCCAGAAGTTTTTGGGTCATTCAGGACAGGGCTTTATTTACCAACAAGTGATATTGATGTGAGTATTATGCTTTAATGTTTAATTTTGTCGTATTTTATCACACGTGACATATTTGAAGGGTTTTCATCAGAAATTTTGTGTATAAATTTGCTCCTAAAGGAAACAATAAGCAAGGGGAAACTGACCAAAAAATTTGCACTCTCCCGTTTTGTATGATTGACTTTCTTAACCCATTTGTTTATATGTTACGCAGGTAGTAATTCTAGACTCGGGCATAAAAAATGCACAGACTGGTTTGCATGCTCTTTCCAGGGCATTATCTCAAAGGGGGATTGCAAAAAAGATGCAGGTATTTATTTTCCTCAAAGTTTATTGATACAATAGAGTATTTTTTATCTAACAGTTCAATTCCTATCAGGTGATTGCAAAAGCTCGTGTGCCAATAGTTAAATTTGTAGAAAAGAAAAGTGGTGTTGCTTTTGATATAAGGTCTGAGTTCGACTTGCATTGCTTTTGGATTGAATTGAATTTCAAATTTGCTGCATTGTTTGAGACTTACTACTGAGGAAACATAGTATTTGGATATTAGTAACCACTGAGGAAACATATTTCACCAAATGTTTTATTTTTATTATTTGAGGAAGATGAGGCTTTCAATAAATCATGAACTAGAAATCTAATGTAATCATTTTTTGTGTAAGCATGTAAAAAGCTCACTTGATCTAGATTATTCTCTTGATTGACAAAATCCGATGGGATGCTTGGAATTGGATGAGTGGGAGACATGTTTAGGTCCCTAGTCTGACATATAATACAAATGATAAGTGGAAATTTAAAGACAAGGTTCCATGTTTTATTCGACAGCTGTGTCTCACAGTTCAATATTTAATTGGGTGTTCAATATTGCAGCTTTGATGTGGATAATGGACCAAAAGCTGCTGAGTTTATCAAGGTTTGTTGCAATTACTGACTTCCCTGTGCTTTGATGTTTCATTTGTTAGTTTTACATAATGATGCTTATTCTAATCCCCTTTTTTCTCAGATGAGGTCAATTATGTTGAACCATAGACTTTATTTTAGGATTTGTTCAGCCAAGTTCCATTTTTGGCTGAAATTTTTACTCAAGGATTGTGTTCTCGTATTCATCGGCTACTATATTTATCGTCACTGATGAGAATCACTGCTTCCTTTTATTTTGTTTCCTTTGTCAACTTCTGGATTGGTTGATTAAAGTTTATGTAAATTATTTTTGGTCTGACTACATCATGTTCCACAAAATTAGGACTTTTGTAGTTTTCCTGTGGTTTGATTAAATCTCTTCTTTAGATTAATCTTTTGTATGTTCCATGAACTTAAAGACTTCTTCTAGATTTTTTCCCTTTTTATTTTCTGAATTTAAAACGGTTCTTATGTGTTTCTCTTAGGGAGCAATACAAAATTGGCCTCAATTACGACCTTTGTGTTTGATCTTGAAAGTATTTTTACAGCAGAGAGACCTGAATGAGGTTTGAGTTCGTCTATATTGAAGTGCTGTTCTTTTTCTTTTAAAAAAATATTGTTATTGCTCTGTTCTTTATTTTCATTGTTTTTGAAACTGTGCAGGTATATTCAGGTGGAATAGGTTCATATGCGCTCCTTGCAATGATCATTGCCATGTTGCAGGTAAGCAAAACTCATGTTGTTAAATTCAGTATGAGCAACCGGAAGATGTCCATTTGCTTCTGCCTGGCACCTATGAAATCGTTCCAAATAGCAATGACTGTTATAATATTTACAACCAGCATTTTATCTTCATGATATTTTGTGCTTTAAGAATTGTAATTAAATAATAAAAGACAAGCAACAGTAATTTTCAGATTCTGTTAAGGCTTTAGATTCTAGCACCTTTTTGTGCTCCTGTTTTATTTGTGTCATCTAACCAATCTATATTCTTTTTTGCGATTCAGAATCTTTGTAAATCCCAAGCTAATCTGGAACATAACTTGGGGATGCTCTTGGTATGTGGGCAAAGAAACCAACCTTTTTCACCCTCCTTTTAGTCTGAACCTTTTGCGATAAAAGAGAATAAAAAAGAAAAATTGGCATGCAATCTTATAAATATTTTTCTTTTGAAATCAGGTACATTTCTTTGATTTTTATGGTCGTAAATTGAACACTGTGGATGTTGGTGTGTCTTGCAAAGATAGAGGCACTTTCTTTTTGAAGAGTAGCAAAGGGTAAAAGGAACAATTTTCCATCATGCTGAATTGATTACTTGTCATCCTCAACTACTGGTGACATTTTTTATTCTTTTTGTTTGATTCTCCTTTAGGTTTTCAAGTAAAGGACGGTCCTTTCTCATCTGCATTGAGGACCCACAGGTTACCATGAATTTTGCTACTTATTCATTTTTCAATTTGACTGCTGTTTTCGTTTCATTTATATTTATTAATCTCTTATGATGAAACAGACTCCAGACAATGACATTGGGAAGAGCTCATTCAACTATATCCAGGTTAACAATTTTTATCTTTCTAGTTCACTTTATTTTAAGTGGGAAACCCTACACCCATGGCTGCCGTCTTCCCCCTTTTATCCAAATGCATGATTAATATTCATTATTCACGTGGTAAACAACCAAGTATCTGTCTGTTCGGATAAGTTAGATGAGGTTGGCTTCATTTCAACCTTGTGTAGAAGATGAGAGGAAGTTTTGGCTCCTATAAGAATACATGTAGTGAGAATTTTATATATTGTCTTGCAGATTAGGTCAGCTTTCGGGATGGCTCTTTCTACCCTAACTAATCCAAAGACCATCTTGTCTCTTGGCCCCAATAGAAGCATTCTTGGTACCATAATTAGACCGGATCCCGTTTTGCTTGAGCGAAAAGGAGGACCTAGCGGTGATGTCACTTTTAGTAAGTTGCTTCCTGGTGCTGGAGAGCCTTTACAAACACTTCACAAAGAGCAGCAGGACATTTTATGCAATTGGCAGTTGGATGATGAGGAACCCCTGCCTCGAGGGGATGGAAACTCTGGAGATTTTAGTGCTCAATCCTCTGGAAGGAAAAGGAAATCTTCCAAAGAAAGGCACCGAAAAAAGAGAGTAAAAGAAAATGGTGATGTAAGAAAGGTATGGGATGAAGAAACAGTCACAAAGAAAGAAAAGAGTTCGCGGAAGAGAAGTTCTAGACATAAAGATAAACATAATGATCCCAATGGTGTTGGTCGTCATCACGGTGGTTCATCCTGGAGTCGTTAGAATGAGCATGTTCTAACGCCCTTGTGTCTTTGGTTTTCTTCTTCAATCATTAAAGAATAAACCTTGGCTCTAAACGAGGACTAATTGCGCCGATGTCAAGGTTGATTTCTTAATTCTATCATACAAAGGTTGAGGGATAGTTATTATCGACTGCCATTTCTTCTGGGACATGGATGACATAAGTTCATTACAGTAGTCCCATTATTCTTAGCATTCTGCTGAGGCCTTTGGGGAAGGACCTCAAACACATTCATACCGTCAAATGTAACCATACATTAGTTATCAGGTTTGTTCAAGTACCATCTCTCTTTTGCAATGATTATTCACTCTTTTTTATTTTATTTTTTGCAATGTACCATCAAGATGATAATGGAAGAAAAAAAGCTTTCTTGGAACTTAACCCATCTCTCTTTTGCTTGATTATAATTTGCTAAATGTCTTTTTACTGTTGTATAAAAAAATATAGTGAGAGAACTTGACCAAGTATGGTGACATGATGCCGATTATATACAATTATGTAGCTATCTTAAATTCAATAACTAATATTATAAACAAGGGTCACTATTATACACTTTCAAAACGAAATCGAGTAAATCTCTTTTACTTTTTCAAAACGAAAAACACAGCATAGCAAACGCAATACAGCCATCATTGCGATAGATGGCCAGCATTTTTGTGACAAAAGGCTCTTAAAAAAATATGCAACAATTAGTTGATCTCAGCGATTTCTTGAAACATATCTTACTCCTTTGATCATTGTCAGACTGTCTCACCCTCTTCAACATCATCTTCAAAATTGCTCCAAAATTCCGATGGTTAAATTCGATGGTGAGACATCTTCCTCCTCTTATTCCCCATCATCATCGCCTTCGTTGCCATCATCTTCTATTTCTCGAGGGACATATGATATTTTCTTGAGTTTTAGAGGTGAGGATACACGTAGGAACTTCACGGATCATCTTTATGCTGCACTTAAATGGAGTGGAATTGTCGCTCTTAAACGGAGTGGAATTATCACTTTCAGAGACGATGAAAAGCTTGAGACAGGTGAAGGCATAGCACCCCAGCTCTTCAAAGCAATTCAAGAATCCCGGTGATCCGTAATCGTTTTTTTCAGAAGGATATGCATTTTCGAGTTGGTGCCTTGAAGAGTTTTTCAAGATCATTCAACAGAAACACGAGAAGGGGCATAAAGTCTTCCCAATTTTCTACGATGTCGATCCATCTGATTTGAGAAAACAGATGGGGAAAGTTCAAGAAGCCTTCGCTAAGCATGAAGAAAACTTCAAGGACAACAAAGAGAAGACACGAAGGTGGCGATCTGCTTTAACTCAAGTGGCTAACATCAAGGGATGACACTTGGATAACAGGTAACCACATTAAATTTAAATTTGAAGCATCAAAAAATGGTTTTAAATCAATGAACCTGTTGGCTAAAGATTGTGTCTTTGGTTTTGAATATTCATAGTATTCACTAAGCTATTTCTTTACTTTGTTTTGGATTTGAAGGCATGAATCAAATTTTATCAGACACATCGTTAAAAGGGTATCAACAAAATTATGTCAAACATTTGCAAGTGCTCCTAATGACATGATTGGAATTCAATCACGTTTGGAAGAGCTTTATTGCAGAATAGAAGTTGGGGATGAAGATGATGATCATGTTCGCATTATAGGGATTTGTGTCATGGGCGGGTTAGGAAAAACAACTCTCGCAAGACTTGTTTATACCAAAATTTCAAGTCATTTCGAAGGTAAAATCTTCTTGGCCGATGTTCGTGAAGTTGCAGAGAAACATGGACTTGTTTGTTTGCAGAAACAACTTCTTTCCCAGATTTTTCCTGAAGAAATCTTCAACTATTTTAACGTTCATGTTGGGAACGACATCATAATTTTAATGTTATCTCGTAAAATGGTTCTTATTGTTATTGATAATGCGGATAAACATACAACACTTGCGATGTTTGATCGGAAAGCGTGCTTGGTTTGGTATAGGAAGCAGAATCATCATAACAACAAGAGATGAGCATCTGCTGCAAATCTACGGAGTGACGATGTGTACAGGCCTATGAAATTGAATGCTATGGAAGCATTTCGCCTTTTCAGTCTAAAAGCTTTCAGAAATGACACACCTGCAAAGGATTTCGTTGAGCTTTCCAAGCGCGTAGTGGAATATGCCAATGGCCTTCTATTAGCTCTAGAAGTTTTGGGTTCTTTTCTCTTTGGTAGATCGAATGCATCTCAATGGAGAAGTGCTATAGAGAGAGACTTAAAAGAGAGTAACAAGGAAATAATTGACAGACTTCAGATAAGCTTTGATGGTTTAGCGGAATCAGAGAAGAACATAATTTTAGATATTGCATGCTTCTTCAAAGGAGATGACAAAGTCATGGTAACTAAAATTCTCAACGGTTGTGGCTTTTTCCTGGATATCGGAATAGATGTTCTCATCAAGATATTGATGATAACGATCGATGAACACAACAAATTGTCAATGCATGACTTACTTCAAGAGATGGGAAGGAAAATTGTTCGCCAAGAATCTTCTGATGAATCTGGAAAACGTAGTAGATTGTGGGAGGGGGAGGATGCTTATGATGTGCTAACCAAAAACACTGCATGCATTGGTACTTATTTTAAGATGTCCATTTTGCAGTTAGTAAATTTTTCTTTGTTAATTATGGATTATTACTTTGATTACCAGGCTACGGAAGCTGTTCAAGGTGTAGTCATTGATTATACAGGGTAACAATTTCACAAATCTATGTATATGTAATTGATTACTCTGTATATTGTGAAGATCATTCGTATTTTAATTCGCTTGGTTATCAGGGTCATCAATGCCCCGAACCTGAATTTTCGTGGTTTCAAGTATCTTAGTAACGAGTTAAGGCTTTTGGGATGGCATCGATATCCTTTCAAATCCTTCCCTCCAAGCTTTCAACCAGAAAACCTGGTTGCGGTTCTTCTGCCTTATAGCCGCATTGAGAAGTTGTGGAAGCCAAACTCGGTAAGAATTAATTTATTCAATAATTTGACTAAGATAACATAGGTAGTGACATTTCATATCTTTGTTTTTGTACTGTTTTGTTCGACAGCCTTTACATAAGCTAAAATTGGTCAACCTCAGAGGCTCAGAAAACCTTATGAAAATGCCAAACTTCAGTATGGCCCCAAACCTTGAAACTTTGGTTTTGGAAGGTACTGGAATTGCATATTTTCATCCAAGCATCAAGTTTCTAAGGAGACTTAAACTTTTGAATTTAAGAAACTGCAAAAATCTTAGGAGTTTCCCAACCAAAATTGGAAAGGAATCTCTTGAAACATTGATACTTTCAGGTTGTTCAAAGATTGGAAGGATTCCAGAGATTGTGGGGGAAATGGAATGTTTTAAGAGCTTTGTTTAGATGGGACTGCTATTAAAGAACTTCCCTCTTCACTTGGAAATCTCAAGAGTCTTGAGTTTCTAACTCTGGATGATTGCAGTAAGCTTGAGAGTCTCCCAAGCAGCATAGGAGGGTGTGAATTCCTCAAATTTCTTAGTCTCTCGGGCTGCTCTAGACTCGAAAACTTGCCAGACAATTTGCACCAGATAAATTCATTGGAGATTCTCAACTTAAGTGAAACTGCCATACAATCACCACCATCCTTAATTTTTCATATGAAAAATCTGAAGTTTCCTTCTATACAAGGATGCAAGGGGCCACCATCTCGAGTACGATCACATTGGCCTTTTATTTTGGGGACAACGCAAATACATTGCCGGAATTCTATGACTCGGCTTCCTGCTCTTTTGTCAGGTTTGAGTACTTTGAAAGGGCTAAACTTAAGTGACTGCAATCTTTATGATGGAGATATTCCTGATGATATTTGCAGCATGTCCTCGTTGGAAGTTCTGTGTCTTTCAGATAACAATTTCATCACCCTACCTACAACTCTGAGTCGACTTCCAAGCTTTCTCATCTATTACTGACCGACTGCAGGAGACTTAAATCGTTGCCTGACCTTCCAGCAGGCAGAAAATTATTTATAAGCGCTTGTGCTTCGTTGGAAGTAGATGCAACAAGTTCAAGTGTTAATGAATTTATTTGTGCTTTTAACTGCTTCAAATTGGCAGATTATAACAATGCAGTAGAAATGCTGAAAAGGCGCCTTAAGGTAATTTTATTTGCTCCTATGGTGTTTTATGGTAGTAGTTTGAACTTTTGAACAAATGGTGTTTTGTTTGCAGGTATCTGCAAATGGAAGAACACAACCTTTCGACATGATGATACCGGGCAGTGAAATCCCACAATGGTTTAGCCATCACTCTTGGAGTCAAACGATAAAGATCCCATTGCCTCTCAATATTCTGAATGACAGTCGATTTCTGTCTGCTGTGTTTTCTTCTCCGACTTCAAAACCGAACCTCGGAGTACAATGCACATTTCCTATAGATTTGTTATCCATGGTAGAAATTGCTCCCGACTAGCTGCACTTGTTTACTTTCATTTAGACGGGGAATCAACGTGGTTGACCGAGGACCACCTTTGGCTACATTATTTACCTTGTAACATTTTGTCTTCCATACTGGAAGTGGAATCAGAATGTGATGGAACTGAGATTTCTGGATCCAGCACAGATACAGCAAAGGAAAGTTTTGAAATTGAGATTTTATTCAAAATCTGGGGTAGTCATTCCAAAGTGAAGAAATGTGGGGTTCGGATGGTGGACGAAAAAGATTTGGAAGAGACGGACGAAAGCAGACCAAGTTCTTCAAATTTTGATGCTGGTTCCCCTGGAAAGACAATCAAGAGAAAATGGTGGAGTGTTTTATTTATTTCATTTTGTATATGTGGTTTTGTTGTATTTCGTTAGGCTAATTTGGTGTATATATGTGTGCATTGATTTGCAGGTTGAATGACAAGGCAGGTGATGGGTGGAACAAACCAAGTTTTTGTTACTACTGTCAAGCATACATAGAAGACCGCCAATCACTTGCTTAATCCATCTTCCCACTTTAGATCTTTTATGTAATAATTCCGTTAACACATTGATTGAGCATTAGTTATATTAAGGGAATTTATATCAACTGATAAGTAGAGCGTATTTAATGTTTGTTAAATCTAAAATCTCGTTGTTAACGGCTTCGTTCAAGTGATAAGCAACCTTGATATTATTTAAACAAGGTCTTAGGTTTGAGTCCTTATGTATGCATGCAATCTTTGTTGGGAGACTCACCTACCAAAGTTAGGTGCACGGCGCAGACCGGTCCGAATAAATCAGGACAAAGCTTTGGAACCGGGAGAACAGCCAAAAAGAAAATTTAAAATATCCTTTCAACAACTGCATATCACCTCGTTCAAGATAGCCTCTTAATGATTATTTGCTGAGATAAATTGAGGTACAGGTGAGGGTAGTCGCTTTTGAAAAACTTAAAAGGGTAAATTACCTAATTCTTCACTAAACTTTACTCTCTCTCTTATTTTACTCATTGTATTTTCAATTTTTCTAATTTGCTCACTGAACTTTACAGATTGAATCATTTTGCTCACCCAACCGTTAACTTTTTAACAATGTTATGACATGGCACAAGCATCAAAATGACGTTGTTTTGAAAAACTCAAATATACATCAAAATGACGTCGTTTCGAATCCTCTTTTTTCCCCCATTGTCTCTCTACTTTGCAAATAAGGTGATCGTTTACCACCAGCGGCCACTACGTTATTTTTCATTCCAGCCACCCTCTACCATCGTTGATGGTGATCGTTCGGTCTCAAAATTCATAGGCCGGTTCGTCTTTACCCTTTGAGTTTGAATCTGATGGTTGTTTCACCGGAAAATGTCTCAAAATCCGTGAATATTGATTGAAATGCTTCGGCTTCCTCACTTTCAATCTTCAATTCGTGGATTTCAGAGCAATTTTCGATAAAATGGAGGTTGGATTCATACTCAAGGTGTCAAGGCGAAGCGACCCATGAAATTTGGAATGAACGACCACCATCTACGGCAGTTGACGGTGGCATCCGGTAAACTTCTATTTTTATTTTATAATTGGGTGAGCAATATAGGGGACTAAGAGTAAAGTTCAATGAGGAACAGTGTAATTTACCCTTTATATTTTCAATTATTTTATATTAAATAATAAAAAATGACACATCATCACAACGTTAGAGAGATAACGACAAAGTAAGCAAAATGATTTAATATGTAAAATTCAGTGAGCAAATTAAAAAAATTGAATGTACGGTGAGTTAAATAAGAAAAATAGTAAAATTCAATGAAAAATTGTGTAATTTACCCAATTTAAAAGTACCATATTTTAACTTCTTTCTATAAATTTTCAATAAAAAAAATTAATTTTACATTTTCGAAATCGTTACTAACGTAAAATCATATGTTCATCCTTAATTCATTCATTTGAATTAAGGAGAAAAGATTAAACACGAAGTTTCCAAGATTCCTGAGAATATCTAAACCTTGTCTCGTTCAACTTACGATCTACGAAATTTCCGCGTCCTAACCAAGGCGACACCGCCAACTTTCAGTCATCAAAATCAAGTATTAAATGTAATATTTTTAACTAAAATATTACAAAAAAAAAAAACACTGGAACTTGTGTCTTTAAAATAGTCTATGAACTTAATTTTAATATTGTAATGCGATTAAAATATCATTTCATTATAATATATGTTCTATTTTTACTTGAATAAATATATAATATTGTCCGAATCCAGAATAACTCAGAGAATATATAATATTTTATCATTAAAATTATTATTTAAATTTTTATCTTAGCACATGTAAATTTTAATTTTTAAGATTTTACAATAATGTTAATATAAGCTGAATTAATATTCAACTTTGCCATGTGCAGCTCACATGGCTTTCCTATCCATCTACACGTATTCTCTTGTAACTCGAGATTGCTTCAGGGAAAACATTTGAATTTATGGAATTTAATTTTTGGATATCGTCGTCTAGTCAGCAGATCACAACATTAATCCATGAAGATATTCAACGTTAACCTAAGGTGAAAAGAATAGGGCTTTTATTTTATTTTATGGGGTTGTCACATTCTTCTAGATGTTCATTTTATGAATATTTTATTTCACTGCTTCGATTTTTTTCTTTTTTATTGTAATAAAGCAATCAAAGTAAAAGGTGTAGAGTTTCTTTAATTTTTTCTTGGACTCGTTGGGGAGATGTAGAAATGGTAGAATTTTCAAGTAGAATGGTTTGATAACTTCTTTGGCACATTAAATCCATACCATGGTCTCACCCAAATATTTAATTGATAAATTCGATTATAATAAATATAGAGAGAATTCATAAATAATTACATTAAAATTTAAGCACGAATCAAATTATTTCACTGATTAAAAGAATAGTTGTTATTTTCAGAGATCTCGAGTTCAAGCACCAATAATTGTAGCATGGGTGGTTGAGTATTTATTGTCAAATGATCGAAAGTATTTAAAACAAATATTACTTTGTACTAACCAAATCTTAATAAAAAGGGTAAAGTACAAAAATGGTCCCCGACTATAGGGTATTACCTTATTAAGTCCCTCAACTATTAAAAGTTATAAAATGGTCCTCTGATTATACATTGTTGCTTTGTTGAGTCCCTCGACTATTAAAAATTACAAAATGGTCACCCAACTATTCATTATGTTCCAAATTCGTCATTTTTCGTTCAAAATTTGATGGTATTCTGAGTTGGACGTTAGGATAAATTCTGATCCCCGAATATCAAATGACTGTCATATCTCAGTCATCATGTTAACATCCAACTTAGACAACCGCCAATTTTTTTTAAAGAAAATGATAAGTTTAGAACATAATGAATAGCCATGTGACCATTTTATAACTTTTAATAGTTGAGAGACTTAACAAAGTAACAATTTATAGTCAGAGTATCATTTTGTATCTTTTAATAGTCAAAAGGCTTAATAAATCAACATCCTATAGTCGATGGACCATTTGTGTACTTTACCCTAAAAAATTATACTCAAATTTAAAATATTATTCTTTTTTAAATTTCAACTTTTCATAAAACTAATGTTTCATTAAGAGTGTATTTAAACACCATAATTTAATTGCATAAAAATATAATTATTATCTTAATAATTACATAAAAATATAATTATAAACATATGCATCAATTTTATAATTTTTATTATACTAAAAGTGATTATAAAGCAGTGTCTATTTCTTAAAAATTAAAAAAATATAATTCATAGCACGAACCAACTTATCTTAATAATTAAAAGAATCATTATTGTTTCTAAAAATCATAAATTCGAGTACTAATAATTACAACAGAATAATTAAGTGTTTATCGTAAAATATTTGAAATTATTTAAAACAAAAAAGGCCACGTTTCCCTACTTTGCCTCTATAAATACTTTCCCCCATTAAAAATCCTTAAAAATATAAGCTTGGAAATCCAACTTTTTTTATCAAAGAGTTAAAACCCAGTTTTCATTTTGCTCTGTTTCAGCTTCCTCTTTACCGGTGAGTTCTATCTCCATCAAGTTCTATCATTTTCCCCTTTTTGGGGTGAATTTCTTTGATCATGTTCATCTGTGTATACAATGATAAAGGAGAGGTTTTTTATTTTCAATTTGGGTTCTTGGTTCTTGAATTTATTCAGTATTTTAGAGATAATTTTCTTCTTGAAAGAGGAGGAAGAGAGAAGAAATGGGAATAAAGAGGATAGCGATTTGGTTAATTATAGCTGTGAATATTGGTGTTCGTTACATTGTTTTCCTAGCTATTTCAAAATGAAAATATGTAAACTTCATTAAAATAAAAGTATGGTAATGATAAATCATATTGCTATTTGATATTCTGGAGTTAAAAATAAGAAATCCATGTATTTACAGTTAGTGATACGATCACCTCCTTTCTCATGGTTTCTCTGTATTTCTAATGATCCTCTGTCTTTGTGTTTTGAGATCGGTTCTAAACTGTTTACACCTTGCAGAATGGCTATGGAACCAAACTTGATTGTGCAAGAATCAGACTTTGGGCCTGATGGAGATACTTCACTCAAGCACAAATGGAATTCGATATCAGAACCAACGACAGACCTTGAAATGGATTCCAGCTGCTTTGATTGCAGCATTTGCTTTGATTCGGCAAAAGATCCAGTAGTCACCCTTTGTGGTCACTTGTACTGCTGGCCCTGCATTTACAAGTGGCTTCACATCCGAACCTCTTCCCTCGATGCCGACCACCGGCAACCGAAGAACTGTCCCGTCTGCAAGGCGAGCATCTCTTCCGGTTCATTGATTCCCCTCTACGGTCACGGCACATCTTCACAGTCTCAACGCAAGAATCCCTATTCAGACATGGCCATTCCCCAAAGGCCGTCTCCTACGTCGAACATTACGGCCGCTTCGTCATTGTTTCGTAACCAGCAATACTTCCCTCACCCTCACGGAGGATATGCAACCTTGCCATCATCCGACCTCGGTGGTATTGCGATGACGAATTTGTTCCATCCGATGATTACGATGTTGGGAGAAATGGTGTATGCTAGGATGTTCGGGAGCTCGAACACGAGTATGTTTGCATATCCTAACCAAGCTTCGTACCCTTCTCTAAGGAACAATAATCTTAGTATGAGAAGGCAAGAGATTCAGGTAGACAAATCTCTTGGTAGAGTGTCCATGTTTCTTTTCTGTTGCATCATTCTTTGCCTTCTCTTGTTTTGAGAAGTAGTGGATTTTAGCTTGTACAGTTGCCAAAATGAAGAAGAAGATAAGTTATTGTTGGAAAATTTGTCAGGAACCCACTTGTGTAAGGTTTCTCTCTGAAATATATGTACATAGTACTATAATTTTTTAAGAACTTGAAATCTGCAGGCTTAGATCCTATGATTTTATTACTCATTTTTTCTACATCCGAATTCTATGGAGTAGTTATCTTAAAACATATATTATCTTGTATTTACCTCATATTAATAAAAAAATCTATGAAGTAGTTGTGTGTATATATATATTAGTTTGTATATCCGATTTACATGTTACTTGTTGGATGATTTGATGTTATTATAATTTAAAAAATAAAAATATACTTAACATTATTTATTTCAAAATTATTTATTAGCTAAATAAATATGATATTTGTTGGACGTATAAATAATTGTCAATATATGTACGTGCATAGTAATATAATTTTTGAAGGGACGTTACCCTATCATATAAAAGTCTTGTTTTCTCTTTAATTTAAAAATTATAATATGTACTAAATATCCCTTACAGGTAAGATACATATAAGTAATTATTCACTGAACAATTTTGGTATGGAATTCATTACACCTTACGGTTTTCTTAGTATTTATTTGTAGACTTGTGATGGTTATTATCATGTTATCGTATAAATAATAATGTTTTAATTCGAATTATCTAAGGAGAGTATGTTTTCTTTTGTTATTGAGATCACTCATAAGCGTTTAACACGTTTTACATATTAAATAATTATAATGTTAAAATTCATTACACGTTTTGTGTTAAATTATTATAAATAAATTTAATCGATTATTAATTAGTAGGTATGGTTTTGGTATATAGATTCCCAGCCTAAAATGGCTTGAATCAAAGCCTTTGATTATAAAAACTTTAATGGTTGAAGGGTTGTTCTCTTTTGACCTTTATCTATTGAGGTGGTTGGTGTCCCCTTTTCACCCAATTAAAACTCACTTCATTATTCTTTATATGGTAAGGTTAAGTAAAGGAAAGAAATACCCAAAAAGTTGATCCGCCTAACTTTTAAGAAACTAAGCACAAACTCCATTCCCCATAGAAAGAGCAGTTGAGTTGACCCCTTCAACAGGAAACAAAGAGTATTTTATTACTTCCGGTAAATGAAATTAGTCTAAAAATGGACTTTCACGTTCGCCTACCGTAGTTTATATACACTGTCGGATGCATGTAGGACTCAGGGTGGGCACGTATCTATTTTGGAATTCGAATTTTTGAATCTGACACTATCTCTATATATATATATATATATATATATTGAAATTAGTATGAAAAATGGAAGTTGGAAGCTACCTTTTCTCACATGAAAGTCTACAAATTTGATTTCCATTGTGATAATATTATAGTCGGTCATAGTATCATCTGTCATTTGTCAGACTGATCATTCTTTTTCTTAACTCATCAAGTCATGCATGCTCTCACGAAACATCTACGTACTTTACAATTACTTATTTTATGTTTATTTGGTACGTTAAATGCTTATTTGGAATAAATTAAATGTTAAAGATAATCGAAAGAAGGAAGACTGAAATCCCGAACTGTTGGTCTATCATCGCAACTGGATACGTGAATAAGAACAATATGGAGAAGGCTTTTGAGTGCTTTAAGGAAGCTCTTGCTATAGAGGCTGAAAATCAACTATGGAGGCCAAAACAAAGTGTAATTTCGAGCATTTTGAGTTGGCTAGGCGAGAACGGAGAAGTCGAAGATGCAGAAGCTTTTGTAAAATTGTTGAGAATCAAGGTTCCTGCGAATAGAGAAATGTATCATGCACTCTTGAAGGCATACGTCAGAAATGGCAAAGAAGTAGAGCGCCTTTTGCAGAGCATGAAGGATGATGAAATAGACGAAGATGAGGAAACGATAAATGTCATTAGCCTTCGAAACCAAAACTCTTAAATGGTTTATAATATGACAGTATCCTTAATATATCAATGTTCAAAGTCTTTATTAGTTTCTAATAACGTTCACACATTCTATAAATATAATCATTTAAACACGTCTTTAAAGAAGATAATATTCTCTTTTATTATCGTGATCACTCAATAAATTCATAATGTGACTATTGCTTAAAATAAAAATTGATGGAAAAACTATACAAAAGTGCAAATACTAATTTTTATTACTCCTATAAGGTAAAGAAATAAAATTGTCCAAATCAATTTAAAATTTAGGGTAAATTATAAAAATAGTCTCTAAACTTTTAGGGTGTTTGTATTTTGGTCATCCAACTTTTGTAACTTGCAATATAGTCCCTAAACTTTTGGTCCTATAAGTAATATATCAATAAGCTAAACAGAATCCATGCGAAATTTGAATCAACATTGTAAAAGTAGATTAAATGTGGTAAACATGAAGCGATGAGCCTAACTTCCGATCCATCTTTCAGCTGAATTTCAACCTATGTTTATCCTTTTTCCCTCCGATGACTTTATTTAACACTACAAATAAACAATGAAAAATAAAAAAAATATAGTGAAGCAAAGAGAAACAGGTATTTTACCAAGGTGTTCGATGCTTTAACGAATCGCGGGCGACTCCTTAGCTAAGATAAGCACTTCCAGAAGCCTATTATATTACCAAAGGAAAAATGGAAACGGTGAAGCAGTGGGAGTGGGAGAGGATAGATAAATGAAAGAGAAATAGTTTCTGGAGAGAAAACGAAGGCTCTTGGGGAATTGATCTGAGTCGGGAGATTGGGAGAGAGAGATTTAGAGCCCCGAATAGAGAGACGAAGGGGTGCGGGTTCGTAGGGTCGGGTGAATACTAAGCCAAATAACATCAAATTTGATGCTTTTTAATTAAGATTTAAAATTTATAAACAAAAAATATAACATTAGAAGGATTTAACTCTCATTTAAAAATTTGATTAGACTCAACTTCAAATATAATATTAAAATCTAATACCTTCATCTTTTAATCAAGCATGTGCATTGCATTAAGTTAAACAATGGCTTCCCAAGCCAAGACAATTCCCAGCTGAAAATCCAAGCCAAAACTGAACATGGATTTCTTAAGACAAATCTCTTTCTTAGAATGAAAATAAAAAACCCTTTCTTCTCTGCCTTTTTAACACTTCCTCAGCTTCTACTCCACTCCACTTCCCCCAAAAGCTCCCACCTCTCTCTCCCCCTCTGTAAATTTTCTTCCTTTACACATTCTTAGAACTCTTGTTTAATTCTAAGTTCAGAATAATGAGGGGTCCTTTGAGAGCAGTACTAGAGAGGTATCCGTCAAGTGATGGAACTACAGCAAATGAAGGGATCATTAGGCACAACAGGAAATGTAGGGATGTTGCATTTCTTGTCATTTTTATAGCATTTTGGGTTGCTATGATCGTTAACTCTAGCTTTGGGTTTAACCAAGGAAACCCATTGAGGTATTCTTTTTTCATTTTTTTCCTCTGGTTTCTTTTAATGAAGATTTACTGACGTCAGACAGAATAATGATTATCTTACAGGCTAGCTCCAACAGATGATTCACAAGAGAAAATTCGCCCAAAAACCAGAGAAAAAGTCGCTAGGGTTTAATAAAATATTATAAAAGTCAATCATCCTAAAATCAGTCCACAAGCCAGACTGTTATAGCCAAAAAATCGTCTTTATTCGAATTTTGCCAAAAATAGCAAAATCCCGAAAATCACTCTAAATTGAAATTCGAAATAAAATAAGCAATCTCTAAAAAATCCAGCCTAAATCAGATTTAAATTGACTTCCTAATTGACAATCGAAATATTACCATAAATAGTAAAAAATATATAAATCTAATGATTCGGAGGTGAAAATGGCAGAATTTAAGATTGAAAAAAGGCCACATGGAGCGTAGCTCATGTGGAGAGCGTGCGCGTCGAAAAGAGCTTTCCGGATTGGGGTCTTATGCGCGATTCTGACACCTGTAGTCAAAGTTATGGCCAAAAGACTGAAACACACTCAAAACGACCTCAATGAGGAACATGTCACAATCAATTCCCGTCTTTGTGCTGATTTGCCAACTCATGGTATCTCACCACCATCAAGGTACAATCTGACAGCTCAGCATCATCTGTCTCGGATCCCCTACATCATTTACACACTTCATATTCTCGTTGAATCCCAAAATGGGAACTTTTTATTTTGGTAGAGATCGTATTCTTTGGGGTCCTTTTTTATGGTATGTTTTGTTTATCGCATGAATCAGATTCCTTGTTTTAGTTTATTTTTATAACTCTAATGGGTGTCTTCCATTTTGTTAAGCAGCATTTCTTTGCTTAATAAGTATTTTCACTTGTTGGTTGGTTGCTAAGAAAATTGAGGAAAATAATAGAAAATGGATGACACATCATTGGGAATTGCTTTCTCAATTAGGTTAGAGTTGTTGAATATATGAACTGCAAAACTACACCGTTAGCACTGACTATAAATATAAACAGTAATTAAAAGGAACAGATTCGTAAACCGTGTCGTGGTATAACCACTGTCTTAGAAACTAAGGTTTTTTATTTAATTTAGGAAAAACTGTTTAATTTCTGATAACTCTCATAAACCAGCTGTTATCATTTAAATTTAAACAGTCCTCAGCAGCCTATAAATATCAGTTGAAATCTTTCACATATTTCCATTTATTTTTTTCAAAGAGAAATCACGTATTACTACGAGCACGACCACGAGCCGAGACGGACGACGGTGCACAAGAGGCCCCCTTGTTCTCTTTCACTCAACAAGGAAGTGGGAAAACCAAACCATAAATACCCATTCCCAATAGTATTTCCAATACTATGTGAGATTGAGTATTACCAACAAGAGTTATAAGCAAAAGATCAAGTGCTTCCGTTTATTAGAAGCTCAGGCTCGCTGTCTGACTAACTATTGGGATTATTCCCCAAGTTTCACTTAGGTTAGAGGTTTCATTTATGTATTGTAGCTTAATTCAGTTTGAACTAGTCCGCTTTCATTCAACTTGTTCTATTCTCTCTTTTTTATTTTGATATT